TTTTAAGTTGTTATAAGCTGTTACACGCCTCTTTAAAAACAGGTGAAATGGATTCATAATTGTTTACATAACATGATCTGTGTAATATCCCTGAAATATAACTGACCTGGCGTATAGTGCACCGATCAAGTGTTCCCCTAATTTCTTTTCGAGCAGAGTAGACCTCCAAGCATCCTGCATCTTGCCTTCTTATGTGTTCATAAAGTTAAGCATTTGCTTATTGTAATGAGAAGCCAAGTAACACTGGCCTTGCTTAGCAGCACCTAAAAACATGATTGTCAGTAAAGCTGGAGCCTGGAGCTTTCGCATTAACAGCATCAACAGTTTATGTGGCTGAATGGAAGCTGGATTTGCTGTCAGAGTAACACAGCGCAAGCTGGACCCTTGCTGACTAATCAGACAAATGGAGAAGGAAGTCAGTCAGCAGATATGCTGCCCGCTGAGTCTAACGCTGCACTCACACCCAGTAGAAAAACCCACCAGCACCTCTATTTCAAATCCATAGTGTTGGTCATGTGGAAAGTTAGACAAGGTGATGACACCACAGATGCCAAAATTATCCATCTGCTCTTTCTGCACTCTTCTAACACACGCTCACCAGGGAACCCCTGAGCAGCAGTGTCGCATATTTTAACTCTAATGTATTTACAGTTGTTGTTTTTTTGTTTTTTTAGGTTCAAACGTGATAAACAAACATTTGTGACCTCAACAGTTTTCCATTGATGCCAGGTCAATGAAGGTTACGCTGAAACACGTGTACACACACACACACACACACACACACACACACACACACACACACACACACACACACACACTCAGATATCAGGAGTTAAGCAACCACAAACCACAAATTGGACAGATTGTACTGCAGTGATAAGGAGTTTCTGTTTGTTTGTAGCAGACATGTAGACGTGTTTGCCTGAGTGTGTTTATAGTTTCTGTGAACCCAAACGTGTCACATTGAAGATATTAATGTAGGAACATAATTCAAGAAGTCCTTAACACACCCAGAAAGCCTGAAATGCTGACTTTAAGAAATTTGATTGCATGTAAAAAATTTTGTCATTTTGTTGCACAAAATGTTAAATTTAATGCAGTCTGGTCAAATCAAATGTATACATTTACATCATGTTTGGAGTTCATCTTTGTCCCTAATATTGTGACAAAGAAATAGAGCTAATTGTGCCTTTGCGCATTTGTGCGGTCATATCAAGTAAGCTGCTAAACTGTAACTGTAACCCGATGCACTTTGTGCAGGTCTCAGGCCTGTGTGATGATAAATCTGATGAGATGCTCTAAAAGGCCTCAGCTGTCTTAATTTCTTTCTAGAAGATAAAAATGTGTCATTAGATACAAAGAGGATGAGCTTGACCGCATTTTCTACTATAATGCAATTCTGACTCATCCATTGTTTCCTCCAGCAAAGCAACACATAGATACAATAGTGCTACTTACAGTGGATGAATTTTTATATCTTAATACTATGATGTAGATAAACCTTACACCACAGTGTATTCGGCCCCCTTGAACTTTTCCACATTTTGTCACATTACAGCCACAAACATGAATCAATTTTATTGGAATTCCACGTGAAAGATCAATATAAAGTGGTGTACACGTGAGAAGTGGAATGAAAAGTTCAAGGGGGCCGAATACTTTTGCAAGCCACTGTATGGTAACTTGACCTGCATCTTCATGGAAATGTCACTACAGCTGAAAAGAAGCATAATTCATTGTTATTGGTTCACATGTCTGAGGTGCTTCTGCTGCTTCCGTTTCAGGAACTTTTTTGCAGCCTAAATTTTCTCGTTCATTTGTCTCAGAGATTCATACACAAGCGCTCGCCAGCACTGGCGCCAGGCTCACAGAGCGCAGCAATGGTGAAATGGGTGTAAATTCCAAGTCATTACATAAAGACACTCTTTTATGATCCCTTAGTGTTGCATTTAAATGGACTGGGTATTCTTAAGTGGTAAAGGGGTGTATTTGAATCTAAACCACAATGTTTTCAGAACCCGAACCAAGCACTTTAGATGCCTGAACCTAACCAGCAAGTGAAAAAGCACAAAGCAAGCTCCCAAAATATGTCTCCTGGTTGAAAAAGAAAAAATTTCTAATTCATCTCCTTTAAACAGCTAGAGGACCTTAAGATGACAAAAATAATTTCCACTAACAAATTCCCAATGACTGTTGTCTTTGAAAATATACTAAACAAAGCTTGACTTTGTTCTTGTGAACCAACCACAAACAAGCAAAATAATGCGTCTGTAGTTGGATATATGGTTAAATGCTAGCAATAAGCCTTCAAATCAGATGTGTTCAGTGGAGGAAATGAAACCCCTAAAGACTCTGAACCTTCACAAAGTACTACCCGCTTTGGAGGACATTTGTGGAACAAGGATCTAAACATTATTTAGGTTTGTCCTGTGATGGTCCTTCAAACCAAGGAGATCCACTAGAAGTGAAAAGAATAGTGAAATAATGCCTCATTGCTCATAACAGAGCAAACAAATTAATAGTTGCTGTCTAAAGACAGTTTATGCTTTATTTCTTAATATTTTATATGCTAGTATTATATTTATATATATAAATATATAGGTGGTACATAGCACACCAGACCCTCAACACAGAAAATTTGCTATTTTCTTGTTCTTTGCTTCAAAAACACACATGAAAACCAAATTCTCTTCACAACTAATATCACACATGGATAACAGCCCTTCAGCCAGAGACGCTTATCCTGCAGACTGAGACCTTTATCAGCCGGAGCAGGAATGGAGCTCAGAGATTACAAGAGACTCAACGGGCAATCGCGATTTATTGTACACAGGAGATAAGACGCACAAACACGACTGCATACATGCACGGACCACACACAGTGTACACAGCATATATCGCACACACTGACACATAATCATGTTCACACTCACAGACACAGGAATCACACACACACACACACACACACACATGCACACTTCAAAAGCCGTGGCTGGATGGGATCAGCGCTGCCCTCGCCTCCCTCCTCTTAACCTTTAACCTCCATCTCTTCATTCTTCTGTCTCGCCGTCTATGTTCCCGTCTCTGTCTTTCATCTTTCTCACATTTGTTTCAATTTGCTGTCGTTTTTGCTTTTCTCAGTGTCTATAGCATATTCCACACCCAATTTTTTTTTGTCAAAGTTATTACTTTCTTTTTTAGTTTAATGAGAATCGCCAACTCCTACAATGATGAGATCAAGACACTCTTACCCCTTTCAAGTTTGCAACAAATTGCACAAATTCATATGGGGATTTGGTGGAAAGTTCTACTTTCATATCAAGGATCTTGATTTAGTCTGAACTAATAAATGTAACAAGTTTATTTCTTTCACCCAGGAATGCAGTGACATCAGTAAAACCAAGCACTTTGGGTTTTCATATAACAAGTACAGCCTTCATCAGAACCAAAAGGACATGAGGATGAAGAGACAAATTTGCATCCAACTGTAGGAAAAAAATTTTACTTTAAAGCAAATGCAGAAAGTCTTGAAAAGAAAATAGTTTTTACAAATGAATGAATTTCATGATTCTGAATCTTCAACACTATTTACGCACTGCACAAGACGAGTGGAAAAACGTGTTTTTTAAAGAATTTATTTAATGCAATGGTTAATACTGACATATTTTGGGTCTCTATGATGTGTTGATGACCCAGACCCAGTTTTACAGTGACTGTTTGAAGTTTTCTTGATTCATTCCACCTTGACGATATTCATGGTTTCAGATGCCCTGAGGCATTCCCACAGCATAATAGTCCCATCACTGTGTTTCACTCTGGGGACAATGTTCTTTATACGCCTCTGGCTTCTTTCTCCAAACATAAGCAGCGTCTCTGACACCAAAGACCCCGAATTTTGTCTCATCTTTCCAAAGGCCACACTTCCAGTATTCATAATCTTTTTCCAGGTTGTCCCTCACATACTTCAGTCTGGCATGAAGGTGTCTCTTCTGCAGAGGTTTTTCTTGAACCTCACAATCCCTTCATGTGCAGGATTCTGGTGACTCTCTTTATTAACCAGTGTCTCTGCATTTTGTTGTGGAGTATTTAGACACATCCAAAGGCCTGGTATGAGACAACAAAATACATCTGCAACTTAAAGCGGGGACAAATGTTCCCTCTTCCCTGAAATCATCTCCAACTCTAAATCAAAGAACTAAACCATTTCTTTATACTCAAACATCTTAAGCACAGTGCTAAATACCAAACATACCAGTGATTAAGCTGTGGGGTAATAGGATTAAAATGGTCAGACTAATTCACTAAATCCCATATAAGATCCAGTTTGTCACACCAAAGGGGCCTTTACTTAAATGTAATTTATTACAATTAAAGTTCTTCCTAAAATGAGATGTGGGAATCAGCCACGTTAGGAATGAGTGAGTGTAATGCGTGGATTTTAAGGGTGTGTCTTGGTGCTATGGCACATGCTACAGAGAAAGCGCTGCACAGCTATCACAAGAATGGAAACAAACTCATCAGAGCATGGGTCAGCGTTCCTTTGCTCGACCAATTATCCTCCGAAACACTGGTTTTCAGCATTTCTGGTTTTGTTTTCAGTCTAAACCGATAAAATGAGGTTTAGGTATAGTTTGAACTTCCTTTCTGTATATAGTTCCTGTGATTGCATGGATTTCCTCCACTGTCCAAAGACATGTCTTTTAGATCCAAACTGGTAGCAGGTGTGAATGTGAGGCTGTTTGGTTGTCTTTCTCTTTAGCCCTGTGATACACATACTGTCTGGGATAATATCTGCCTTCACCCTGGTGTCAGCTGGGATAAGCTCCTTTTTCACCAAAGGAAAGTGATGAATGTCAAACCTAAAATCCTTAATGGAGTTCTTTAAAGTTAAATAAAGAAACGAGCACACAGAGCTGCTTTATTTTAAATTATACTTTATTTCATATAAAAACAAAACAATAAACAAATAAATTAGATATTTCTAAAATAATTCTCTTGAGGAAATGTTTAAGAATGCCATGATTGTTTACAATTCGTTTTTGAGAGAAGAGCAGGTAACAGGAATGTAAAAATATCAATGCTTTTTGAACACTGTGGATAAAACGTCTTTTCAAAATGACGTAGAAGCTGAGCGATAGCTTAACATGAGAAGAGGCCATACATGAATCCTTTGGTGACAAGATGGTTGTTTTTCTTCAAAGACAATAAACTGATTGATGAATTTACAGCATCTTTTTAAAGTAAAACCCTCCTTTTTTCTATTTGAACATATTAAAGATATGAAGGTTTTGGGCTGGCGATGCAAATATTGTTTAGGTTTGTCTGCAGTCAGCTCCAGGAGGTGGGTTGAGAATCAGTTGGCATTTTAGCCCACAGGGGAATTTTCTACAGCTGGTCCTGGTGGCAGTGGTGGGGCTGCAAATCTGAATTAAGATTTGTAATTTAAAAGATGGAGGCTTTGTGGATAAAGATAGGGAGAGAAGAGGAGATATTACCATAATAAGAGCCTCTTCATTTGCACACAAGCCCAAGCTATGCCCACAACACCACCCCCAAACTCCCTCTGGTCTGTAGTCACACCCATTAAGCCTGCAAAGCTTTCATTGTCCAGCCAGGCTGCGGACCTGAGGACCTATTGCCAACAGATCTGGCTGGGTGAAGGGTTACACGGAGACAATAGGTGTCCCTCCCCCTCCTCCCTTATTTGAAATCAATCACACAGGCTTTCACATTCAGTGTCCCCCACCCTCCCCATGCTGCTCAGCAGTGACACTGGGCTTGGGCCAGCTCCCAACAGAGTCTTCATGCTAAAATCGTCAGTGCTCCTTTCAGAACGAGTCCCACCCTGGACACACTGTCCCTCACGGAGCATTCATGTAAGAGTAGAGCTGTTGTTAAAGGAGCACCACGTAATGTCGCCTCAAAGGTCATGAGTAAACAAGCCACACTCGCAACCTCTGCTTCTTTGAGACACGTTCAAAACTTATCTCAACTGTCTTCTTGTGGTTTTGAACCTTGTCTTCGACTTGAGATTAAAAACAAAAAGAAAAATTCTGGGAGGGGGGGGGGCGGACTTTGTTCCCAAATTTCCCAAGCTGAGGTCATGCTTAAAGGCCCAAGCTATCTATTTTTTTTCTTGCCACAAAAGCACTTAAGGCTTTAATTGTTAATGGATTTTTCATATCTCAGTCAATCAGTCATAATTCAAAATAAGATCTGCTTTCTTAGATTTAGGGATGCTGTTGGAGATAAATATGAATAAGCTGGTATTTTGGAAAGAAATAGATAGCCCACGACATGACAGGTTTGGCACTTGATTAAATTCCTCTCTTCTTTTGCCCCCAATAGCCTTCACTTGTTGTGTCATTCAGAATAATTTATAAAAGGCAATTGTCTTTCTGTTGTTGATATGTACATAACAATAGTTTAATATTCTAATATATTCACAGGAAATCATCGATTCAGGCACTTTGCTGCCACTACAGCAACTTCTTAGCATGAGAGATCCTGAGATTTAAGACTGTTTTCTCCTTAAATAAGCAACACAAAAGTAATATAATCTTATATAAACAGATTTATATTTAACAATCAGTTTCTTATCTTCTATGATAGCAAAATAAATCTTTTGTTTTTTTGTTTTTGTCAAAATGTCTTTATGACCGAGGTTTTCCAGCCCTGGTTGTGGGTCAAGTTTGTGGAGGAGATCTTTGTCTGCTGCCTCAAAAGAGAGAAAGCACTTAAAGGCATTTCAAGTACCAGGGTCACTTCTGTTGAGTTTTATGCCTCCAAAGCTAAAACTGTTCTTGGGCACTGTTCCACAACTGATAGTCCAAAGTACCGTGATTGGTTTGTCCTCCTTTCTTCTGTCCATGATGTAACACTTCAAAACTCCACCTTGGTGTCAAGCGTAGTGTCCTTGGTGCTCCATGTGCAGAGGTGTGTGGCTGTGCATGTATTTGTGTGTGTACGTGTGTTTACAAATGCTATCTATATTCCAGGGCTTTGTCGGATGCCATAGTGGAGGTCCAATGAACAACATCGCATGAATAAATCTTTAATTTACCTTTAGAAAGGAGCAGCAGTCCTTCAGTTTGGTAGCCAGAGGATGTTACTTCATTCAAAAGCCCAAAGTAGTGTTTCCCAACTGTAGTGTTGTGTTTGTACGTGTGTGGTGTTCGTGCGCCTATCGAAGAGCCGTCTTCGTGTCTATCCGAGAGTGCACGTCCTGGTAGCCCAAGAGGCAGGGGTCGGTGGATAAGGCATCATGGGTAAAAACTGAGTCGTTGTCAGAGGAGCAGGAGCTGGATGTGTCCTCGCATGAAGGAGAGTATTGTTCAAAAGGCGTTGACAGATCCAAGTACTGAGGGGAAGAGGAAGTTGAATCAATAAGAAGAAATTCTAGAGAAATGCACAATTAAATGTTTTTGAAAATTTTCAGTAAAAATCAATAAAGATTGAACTTGACTGGCTATCACACTGCTATTGAACAAATTTTGGACAGTTGTTTTCATCATAGTTTTGGACCACCAGGTCAGCACAGACTGGTTTTGGATTGGTTGCTTTAAAGATTGTTATGAATGTATCTAAGCTCATGAACACCTAAAAGCAAACAAATCAAACATGTTAACTTCTGGCACATCTGCAAAGGAATAACAAAAAGTGCTGCAATTTCAGCAGCCAAACACTGTTTGATTTTGTGTTTATTGCTTTGAGTTTATAGGATCAGAAATCTGCTCAGCTCAAGCAGTCTGCGTGCTGAACATCTGGGCTGCAGATTGTTGGTGTCAATGAAAATGTGTGCACACATCTTTATGGTTGCAGATGTTACTGTGTGTTTGTGAATGAGTCTGAAACCTATAGGACTACCATGAGTTTTATAAAGTGAACAGAAGGATAAATTGTACAACAGCAGACTTACACATAACACAGGAACATTTACAGGTGGATAGATTGGTATGTATGTTTGAAACCTACCTCGTCAGAAATGGACAGGAGCACCCTGTCCAGTTCCTCAACCAGCTGTTTGAAGGTTGGTCTCTGGGTGGGAACAGCATGCCAGCATTCACGCATCATCATATAGCTGCAGAAAAAAATATATAAGGATAATTTACCATAGGGCACATGTTACCACTGCATTCTTTAGAAAAGATCTGGACAAAAATGTGATACGCTAAAGATATGTAGTTACTGGTGGTAGCTTTAGTGGATCCAGTTTATTTACTGCTCTTTACTTGTCTGCTACAATGTTTCTTAGAATAAATAGGCATGTCTGCTAACAGTTGAGAGTAAAGTTTAAAAAGAAAAGAGGGCTTGCTTACAGTTCGTGTGTGCAGTTTGATGGTTTGTCCATGCGATGTCCTTCCTTCAGCAGCTTAAAAAGTTCCTCAACAGGGATACCAGGATACGGTGAACCGCCCAGTGTGAATATTTCCCACATCAATACACCAAATGACCACCTGAACACAGAAAGGTAGCATCGGTGATTTCTTTAGTATGAAGCAATTGTTCTCAACTGGATTCGTTCAGCAGTAACCATGGGATAAGTAGAAAGATTAACTCCACTATTAAACAACTGGGCTTATCTGAAGAGTTAAATATATATTTAGTTTTGGCTGCTCCCTTATTTCCCAAGGGGTCGCCACAGATGGATCTTCGCATTTTGTTTGGTGCAGATTTGATGCCAGATTCCTTTTTGAAACAACCCTCCAATTTATCCAGGCTTGGGATAGGTAATAGGGGTATTGAGGTTTTGCAGACACGTGAGCAGTAACCACATGTGTGAAGTGTGACAGCTATGGTGACAATATAGGATCAAGTGAATAAAGCCCCAGCCATACATACTTAGAGGCTGACCCATGGCTACCTGTCAGCAACTTGTCTTGAGGGAAAAACAAAGATTCCCAAACTTGTTGCAAGATGTTGCTGGAGGTTGATGGCAGTTGCTGGAAAAATAATTGCTAAAGGCCCAGTTTGTGCCTATTCCCAGAGTCAAAGTAGAGATCTTTCATAGGTAAAGTGAACAGGTTAGCCACTATACCGTGGGCTCACTATAATGCTGAGGAGTTAAAAGTAGAAAAAAGCAGATGAAACAGCTCACTAAAGCTAGAGATAATGATAAACTGTGAAGACACAGTAGCTAAGTACATTTTTAAATAAAAAAAATCTTTAGTTAACATTTTTGCTAGCAGTTACATTACTAGCTAAAAATACGTATTTAAAGATGAAAAGTTGAAATGGCTGACTAAAGGTACAAACAACATTTTTAAATTAACAGTGAATACAGTGAAATTGGTTGCTTAAAGATCATAAATAAAGTAGCAGCTAAAAGTGGCACATAAATAATAAGCTAAAACTTTAATAATTAAAAAGAAAATGTTCTAACTACAACTAAGAAACTTGTAGTCGTGGGCGATCGTGGCTCAAGAGTTGGCCGTTTGTGTCCTTGGGCAAGACACTTCACCCGTTGCCTACTGGTGGTGGTCAGACGGCCCGGTGGCGCCAATGTCCGGCAGCCTCGCCTCTGTCAGTGCGCCCCAGGGCAGCTGTGGCTACAATGTAGCTTGCCATCACCAGTGTGTGAATGGGTGGATGACTGAATGTAGTGTAAAGCGCTTTGGGGTCCATAGGGACTAAGTAAAGCGCTATACAAATACAGGCCATTTACCATTTTGTTGTCCAGATCTAAAATGATTTTAACTGAACACATTTGAAAATGAAAGGTTTTCTTGATGTTGCTGTAAAAACATTGGATATCACTCGTTAGCCTTACGGAGAAAAGGTTTCAAGGAGTTTGAGTACAAGTTTAGACAAGATGTGAGAAGGAAGGTATAACACTGATATTTTTGAGACTTTACTGTGATGAGTTGAACTTACACATCACTCTGGTGAGTGTAGACTCTGTCAAACAAAGCTTCTGGTGCCATCCACTTCACTGGTAGTCGTCCCTGAAGAGCAGACACGAACACGTTAGAGCCTCTCACTACCCAAACTTAACCAGAATCTCATCCTAGTTAGTTGCGCCATGCTCCTGCATGTCTCTCATATGATCTTTCCCCTACTCGTTCTTCATCAACTCTTTTCTAATTAAGTCCCATTAAGCCTGCTGCCAGTCAGAGGAAAACATCAAACATCTGGTTACAGGAGTATTAAAACTGTAAAGGAAACCAGTCAGTAATAAAATGACTAAGGGGCAGATAGGTTTATAAGCAGCCGTAGATATATATGTACCTACCATGTACAGTACTAACGGGAAAGGGTTGTACAAACTGATTGCTAACAATACTGCAGTAGTATTTCTGAGCAAAAAGACATTAGATCGAGGCACTTAAAAAATAGTATTTTTCCTTTGAAACTTGATTTGAGATGTCAATATTTTAGCTAGCTATGCTGGAAAAATTAAAAGAATAACGACAGCTTAGCTGCACCCTAGTCTGGGTGTTAGAGGCGCAAATTCCTAAAACAAATGCTCCTTAGAAATGTTACTCACATTGGTGGTTTTCTTGTAGTAGTCAATCTGGTGGACTCCTCTGGCCAGGCCAAAGTCAGCAATCTTCATCACATTGTCTTCAGTCACCAGAACATTCCTGGCTGCCAAATCTCTGTGGATGCACTGCAAAGAGAAAAGAAGGGGATGAAAAATTCCCAACACGAGCTGTTGAGTCTCCAGATTAAATAAACAGATTTTAAAAATTTGGATAAAAAAAAACACACACACACAATATATATAGTTTCTAAATATATTGCATGTTTCTTTTGATTTTTAGATAACTGTACGACTTATTTCTCGCAATGCATGACAAGCTCTCAGATTTGTGGCGTGACATTTCCCTGTCTGAAAATGCTGAGGTAGGCGAGGTAAAAATGACTGACTGCAGATTTCCCAAAAAGTTAAAAGACGCGGGAGCCTAAAATCAACACACGGTGCCTCAGTTTGGTGAGGTCCGCAAAAATATAATGTCTTTATATAGAAATCCTGGAGTTTTAGGAAAAACAACCCTTTGCGAGGAAAAAAGAAAGCAGTGTTTGCCCACATTGAATGGATGTCATTAAGTTTATTTTGGTTTTCATTTGAAATAGACGTGGGATTTGTGGGGACGTGCGAAATGAGCCAGTCTTGGTTTGTGGGTCTCCCCATAATGGAGGGTTAGATTCAGGCTCCTGCATTCTTCGGAGGCCTTATAGCCAGAAACCTGATGCCTACACCCAGACGAAGGCTCTGCCGGCCTGTTTGCTAACAGATTTATGGCAGCGCTAAAAAGGACAAAGCCATGCAATGAAGGGACGGACAGATGGATGGAGAAGAGTAAACAGGACTGAAGTTGCAGCAGCTCTCTGCTGAGGAATGCCTGTCTGGGAAAGTGACTGGCAGACAAGGAGACGTGTTGATATGAAGCACGCAAACATGGTGCATGCTGGGAAATTGAAAGGACAAGAAACATGTGGATGGGGGTAGAAAAAGGAGAACCGACAGGAAGGACAAAGAGAGGAAGAACAGCTGGTGCTGCCTCAACCAGACTAATCAATTTGAAGGCCAAGTCCCAAAATACGATGAATTACATGAAGGAACCTGATCCTTTCAATCAAAACCACATTTCTTATATTACAGCCTCTTTGGGGCATATATAACTCTGAAGACCTAAAGAAGTTTAGTCCTGCCCTCATTTTATGTCTGCATTACTCTGTGGGGATTCAGACACACTCCAATAGACAGGCAACCTGTCCAGGTTATCAGGGGTTAGGAAAAAAGATGGATTGATGGATCAATATGGATACACATCAGCTGGCCCTGTCTCATAAAAAAAGATGTTCCAGTACAGCTAAACTGGATTCTCAATCACATTTTGAGGGAAGTCTGTTTTCTCCCGGATTATGACTGCTTGTATTGTTTAACTAATATGTCTGTATTAGCATATCTTTGCATATCGTTACTTTGCGTTCCTACTGTTGCTGTACTTGTGATACTAATCTGGTTAGCGTCATGAAAGTTTCTACTTTAAGGTGAACAAATGTTTTTTTAGAAACCTAAACAAACAGCCAGTAGAAATATTACTGAAAAGTTGGGGGGAAAATCCAGAACTACAAAAGAAATAAGCTATAGTTACTACTTCTAGTACATTTCAACTCTTTATAGAGAGCTTACTCTTTTAGAGGCCAGGTACTCCATCCCTCTAGCCACCTGGTAGGCACAGGACAGCAGGTCTTTAAAGGTGAGCTGCTCTTCAGGCACCTTAGTCACATCAAAGGTGTAATCCATGCCTGGAGGTCGTCGGGCTCGCAGGTACTCCCTCAGACTTCCTTTGGAAGCATACTCCACCAGCACATACAGAGGGCCTGGGTGGGGGCAAGCAAAAACAGGATGAAGGGCTGCAACCACCACAGCTGAAACAATCCCTAAATCAGGCAGATCTTCATTAGATTAATAATAACAAAATGACTTGGGAGGAAAATGAGGAAATGTGTTGGTTCTTATCCAAAATAAAGGTTAGACACTCACCATCCTGTGTACAGACTCCCAGCAGGTTGATAATGTTCTTGTGCTTGTCCATCACCTTCATCAACTCCATCTCTGAGATGAGGTCTGCCAGATCTTTGTCTGTGGCGTCATCTGAGAGAGACATGTAGTTTTATTTAGTTGACATGCTGTTATAAGGAAGATCTGCCAAGTTAATCTCAGGAATTATTTCGCTGGTAGTATTCCTTTCTTACCTTTGAGCATCTTGACTGCTACAGTAGTGGCTTGTTCTGGACAGTCCTTGTTGATGCCGTAGGCTTCAGCTCTGACCACCTGACCAAAGCAGCCTTCTCCTAGAGGTTTACCCAATGTTAGACTAGAAAGAGAAAGGGAGTCTTAGTGAAAATAAGTATGTCCAAAAGAAAACTGTACAAATCCATAATTTGAAGCTCCGGTTTCTAAAACTATAGGTTTGATGGAGCCAAAAATGTCTTGCGGGCTTGTTTCTTTTTTGGTTCACACATGATGCGAGCGCTACAATGTTTAAATGAGTACAGATCCCGGCAGCCAAACTAAACTCAGTGAAGAAATACTTTTAGCAAGGAGCAGACGCTTTAAATGTTGTTGAGACTTAACAGTTCAGATTATTTAAATATATATATATATATGATACAAAGCATTTGTGATTGATTATCATCTACATCTTAATAAATAATGACAGATGACTTACTTCTCCCTGGGGAACTCCCAGTCTGGGTCATAGGGCAACTCAAACTCCATGACTCCAGCCAACATTGGTGAACAGCTGGAAGACAGGCGAGCCACCCTCATCAGAGATGCGCTGGACTTCCCTGACGAGTTGGACTCCACTGAGTACTGAAGAAAGAGATAAAGATGTCAGGTTTTAAGAGGTTTGCCTTCAGATGCAGTTGGATCATCCATTGTGTCATAGCAGGTTATGAGACGTACCTGTCTGCGAAGAGGGAACTTGGAAAGCTTCTGCACTGGGAGTGCATCAAATGGCTCCCTTCTGGGGTTGACCTGCATTCGGCACAACACCACGATGACAATGGCCATGATCAGAGCCAGGAATCCACAAGCATAGATAATTATGTCGCTATATTTGGTCTCCATTGTTTCCATAGCATCTGCTGCTTCTTCCTCTGCAGGTACAAGATGAAAAATTAGAGGAAAAAAATGTAATTCAATAGGAGAGGGAACTCAAAACAAGAAATGATTAGTTGAAGGTTTGTGGAGTATTTGATGGCAAAAGTGCTATATATCAATGATTAGCTGACCAAAGCAATGCTAAAATATTTTGAAAAGACCATGCAAAGTAGTGTAGAGTGACTTTTTTTTATATAGTTACGTTGCTTTGTTCTTACCTGAAATGACAGTGAGCCAGGCAGACTGGTGGGCATAGCCAATTGAATTTCCAGCCAGACAGGTGTACTCTCCAGCATCCTCCATGGTAACTTTGGACAGGTAGAGGACCTCCACCTCGGACATGTTCAGACTGCCAGTCTGCATGACACAAAATGCAATGATGGGGCATGATAAGAGAGCTAGGAAGAAGTTAGGTTTTAAAGCTACCAGAGGAGTTGCTGTTAACAACACGTGAAAGGATAGCATCTCGTTGTATTACCAACCTTGAGGACCTGAACGTAGGGGGTCCCGTCAGGACCATAGCGTCTGCCGTTCCTTTCGATGTGCTTGAGCCACTGAATGTGAGGTTGGGCGTCACTGTAGACCTTGCAGTGGAACTGGACATCACTGCCTACCACTGCTGTGGTGTTGGCTGGCAAACCTGCCTGCAGGATCGGCCTGTGGGGTGAACGCTCTGTTTTTGGAGGAAATCACACGGAAGAGGTAAGCAAAGGGAGCAAAGATTCAGACTGAAAAATTGTTCAAAGATCAAGAGAAACCACTCAATGCCTTTGCTCATCTCAAAGAAATAGCAGAGCATATGGAGACAAAGGTTAATTTATCTGTTAAGCATGTATGAAGTTTTAGGCAGGCAATGGGTAATCACCTGACTGCCTCTTAAAGACATTCATTTATTTAGTCATTTAAAGCCCACAAAAATGCATGCTTTGCAAATAAGCTCCTTAAAATAGCCAGCAATTGTCATTGTCACCCTCAATATGTTTCTATGCTGGCAAAAGACCAGGAAATGTCATTTTGGAATGAAAATTGGTTCCATTAGCATGCCTATTTGCCGCTAGTCTCTTTGATCTGTGGTCACTCTCTCTCTCTGATCTCGTTAGCTGCCTCGTTAGTCTTTTCCCCCTGTCAGCAGGGACGGAAACTGACCCTGCGGTGGAGAGATAGCGAACAAACGAACAAACAAACCGCAACACTGCTCGATCTCTTGTCACAAGTCAGGTAGAAAACTGGAGTGGAAGTCTGACCATCCACATCCTGCCCGCCGCAGCCTGACACCAGGCACCCCTGTCACCATTTGCTCACTCGCTCAGTTATCTCCTCTCTCAGACTGGAGCCTTAAATTTGAAGGAATTCTGCTTTTTTGTGCTGACCAATGCTTTTCAGCCAGATTGTATAATCCAACCAATAAAGATTTTCTGTTATTTATGGCTTTAGTTTAGTGCTTACTCGTGTAAGGGTTGTGTTCTTCACTCTAGATGTCACAAGATATGCTTTTTTGTTTATTTTACTTTTTAAATATGAACATTAAATATGAGAAGCATGATCTTTCATGTCTTACCCAGAACATCAAGAACATAGCTGTGACTGATGGAGCCATATTTGTTCTCTACCACACAGGTATAGTTTCCTCTGTCTGAGGGCACAACACTTTCCATCACCAGGCTCCAGTGCTGGTGTCGTAGCTGGCAGATAAAGTACAAAATTATATGAATAAGAGAGCAAATAAAAACACAATCTGTTTATGTCGCACGAGATGACAAAATGAAACCTTCGTCACCTTGATGCCTCCAATGCGATGCTCTCCTCTAAATTCGCGTCCATTTTTGAGCCAGCGGATGCTCGGCATGGGGCTACCCATAGCTGGACAACGAAACTTCACTGTGTTTCCTGCAGGAACAGCATAGAGTTTCTTCTCCATACGCTGGGGATGTGTCCAATACGGTCCTGCACAGACAAAGAACCGCAAATAAGCCGTTAAAGCACAAAATTCAAGAAATGCAGCTGCTAAATAAACAGCAATTTTACCTCTATAGAAGTAAACTTGGTCATTTTCAATCTCAGCTGAAGAATCCTCCAAGTCGTTGTCCTCATCGTCGTCCCCAGATCCCAGCGAGTCTGAGACGAAGACATGTCAAATACCATTTACGGCTGCCTCTAATCCTCATTACTTAAAAGCTTCTTTTTTTTTAAACCAGTGACTTTATATATAAAAAAAATCCAGTAAAGCATCAAAACTGCACTGCGGGTGCTCTTACCTGCCACAGTGATAGTGAAGTTCCTCACAGGCTCTTTGGATCCCCGGAGAACACAAACATAAACACCTGAATCTTCATATGTTACGTCTGTGATTTCCATGATGGCGCCTCGCATCTGGATCCGGGGTGTGGGCAGAACACGTGCACCCTCCTTGTACCAGTTTACAGCCATGCCGGGCCGGGTGCTCATGTCACAGCGCAGTTTTAGGACGTTGCCTGGCTCTAACAGGAGATGCTCTGTGGTGTCCTCACTCAAGTCCTCGAGAACATCTGCTAAAAGCAGGCATGGTATTAGCTTGCGGTGCTGAAGGCTCTTCTCAAGTTTTTATGATCAGTCTGAACACCCTTTTCGAGCTCTCCTTCTCCTTCTCTTTATTTCTTTTGTAGCTCTGATTATCTCACCACAGAGCCCAGTCTAATCGCTATTCCTTCAGTTATGACCTTCAGCTCCTCAAACTCCATTATCTCCAGTCCCCACATACACACAAGCACAATGACATTGCCATGGAGACAGGGCCTTACTGACCCGAGCCACCTCCACTCCCCCTTCCCCTCTTCATCTTTTTGTTCCCCTGTGAATTGTTATGAGACTGAGAGCGATCTGGCTAGCTCTGCAAACTCCCTCAAAAAGAAGCAAAGAAAAGAAACAAGAAGGAAGGGAGACTGAAGCTGATGAACATGTCGCAATGTGACAGCGGTCGCAGAGTGAATATAAGGGGTGGTAAAGGCTCACTAATGATCTAAGAGACCAAAGAGAAGCAAAATCTGTGGAGGTGGATGCCAAGTTTAGAGCTCTCACGGTTGGCAAACATACCACTGTATGGTAAATGTATACTTTCACTTCTCACACCCAAATAGATTTTATTTATTTTTTAAAAAGCTCTAAGTGTAAAAGCTCCAGAGTGAGGTTACCTGAGGGAATTTTAGTTGCAGGCATGTCCTCAGTTTGGGAAATGATAATCCCTGTGAAAGGGAAAAGTTGTCATTTAAAAAAAGTAAAGATGTGGGATGTTAAAAATTGACACTAAGCATTTCTATCTAAACAACATAAAAAAATCATATGCCTATAAATCCGAAATATTCATATAATGATAAGTCTGCCTTACCAGGCAGGACCTCCAGCCATGCTGACTGCATGGCCTGCACTGTCTGTCCCGCATGGGTGTTCTCAGCCATGCAGATGTACTCGCCAGCATCCTCCACAGTGATGTTGGACAGATGGAGAGTATTCACCTTGGATGATATGTTCTGCAGGGGCTGCGTGACAGATTATTTTAGAGTGATGAGAAGAGAACACAGTGCAGAGGACAATAAAACTGCTGACGTTAGCAGATCTGTTCTCACCGTCAGAGCCCTGAGGCCAGGGGGTCCTCCCTGGTTCTGACCTGGTTCGCTGACATTCACCTTCAGCCACTGCACCTTTGTGCTTCCTGGTCTGTGGACTTTACACATCAACTTTGCCTGACCACCAACCACTGCTGTGGTGTTCTCTGGGTAACCTGGAACTATCAGAGGCCTAGTGACCCGAAGATCTGGAAACCAAATGTGGAGATGGAGGAGAGAAAGTCAGAAAAGACAGATGATCAGTCATATCTTTTTCCTGTTATTGAGATTTGTTTCATTGTTATATTTCAGATCAGTGACAGCCTCCTTATTTACTCTTTCTCTCAATCTTGAACCTATTTCAGGCTTCACAGTACAGCTATTTTGCAGAATAAAGGAATCAGTAAACTGCTACAAGTCGCCGTAGTCTCAATAACCAAGTGAACAAGGCAAAAATTGTCAAAACACATCCTGGCGGTTTCATTTTACCTCTGAAAGGTCCGGCAACAGAAGCACACCATGTTCCTAAACAACCACAGACATTTAATGCTACCAGGAACCGGTGATAGAGTGCCCTGATAACCCAGCCACTATGGTGTCACCCTCAGCTACAGTGCCATCCATTCAGTGGGTCACTCACCCACTCACTTGCTGGAGCATATGTGCGCCCTGGCTAGAGACCTCGCTTTCTGCTCAGTCACTCAGAACGAGCAATTTTCCAGGGCAATTTTCTGTCTGATTGCTTCCTGCGAGCGCTTAGTGAAAGGCAATCTGTTTCCCTGTCGGAGTGAAGTGCTATCTCTTTTTCCAAACACCAGAGTACACGCAGGTAATCCTTTCAGGAACAAATATACAGTCACTACCTTCTGAGGGGAAAATGAGAAATGGCAGTTGGTCAAAAGCAAATGAAAGAAACACCTTGGAGGCAAACAAACTCAACACTTCGTTTGTTTACAGGGAGTCAGAAACGTGAAATCCCAACAAGCCACAATTTTATCTAGTTAAAAAAAAGTTAGGAAAAAAACCTGTAAATCAGAGAGCTGAAGCACACACTATACCCACGCTAATGAACTTGCAGAGACAGCGACGGTGCCCCAGAGATGAACTCGCAGCAGAGTGTGAATTGCCACCCAGAGGCGAGGGGGCAAACAAAACACAACACAACACAAACAAACCCGCTCAGCTGGTGCGAGCCAGCCGGCCGGCCGGCCAGCCGGGCTGGCAGCAGAGCCTCGTATGGTACAATGAAGAGGCATTTGTGGCCCAATGCAGGAACGTACAGCAGCAGAGCCCTCAAATATGTACTTTTATCCAATTAGGTTTACTTCCAGCAGGCTAAAGAACTTCCCAGAATTATGCAGTTTCTGATTAACTTTCAAGGAAAATTGCTGGAATTCATTACATTGTCAGTTTGCAGCTCCCACTTATAATTACAAAGCTATAATGGTTTGGGGGCACACATGCATGTAGCATACGCCACCACAGGAAGTATGCATTCAGCATTATTTTATACAAAAGCTGCATTATAGCTAC